AGCACGAACAGATATGGTTTGCCCCAACCTGCATGAATTTCCGCGTTACAATTCCCCAAAAACCAGTAAGGGAAGACACTTTATCTCTCATCTTTTTTTTATTACAAAAAGCACGGCAAAAATTCTTATGAGATTTTACCCCAAAATCCCTTACCTATTGGGGGGCGGGAAACCTTCTTAGGGGCCATATATTTTTGGGAGAAAGAAAAGCATTCCTACCTTAGTTTCACTTTTTTTTCCTCTTGTTTGGTCCCATTATGTGAAAACGACTTTGGGGGGTTTCACCTCAGGGAAGTTGTCCCCCCCCCTAACTTATGAGGAAAACTGCACCTCCGCTGGGAAGCCTCTTCCCCCATCCCCCCCCCCTCCATTTAAGGTTTGAGGGGGAAAATTCAGCCTCCAATTTCCCTTGGAGAAAACAACCTTTTAATCTCCAAATTTTTTTAAAAATCAAAGAACATTTTTGTAACGCACGTAAATCCCCAAAAGGGGGTGGGGTCGTGATCACGTACATGACCTGCAGATAAGAAAAAGCCCCTTTAATGACTAACAAAAAACCATATTAAAATTATTTAATTTCGTGGAGTTTTCTTAGTAAACTTGGAGAATTGATTAATGATTTTTTTTTCCAAAAAAGGTTTGGGTGTTGCTTCCGCCCGTAGCAGGAGAAAGTAATGTTTGGCTGGGGGAAAGTAAAATGTCGGTTTATTTAAAAGAAAGGGTTGATTATTTATTATATTTAAAGCTTTCAATGTCAAGGGTATTTGGTTCTTACATTCTTCACCCCCAGTCAGTGATAATATAATTGTAAAAATTTCGATATATTAATATAATATATTTATATTATTTTTTATATATATTTTTATATATATAAATATATTTAAAAAAAAAGATTTTTGTCGTCCCCAATGGGAAAAACTTGTATTTTGGCAAAATTTGAAACGCTCTTTTGCCCGAGTAAGAAAAAGCGAAAATTTGTTATGCAATAATTTTAAAAAAAATCATTATAAACCCAACGAAAAACACATATTTGATTGTTTTTGTTTGTTTATTTTATTTAATTTTATAACTTTTTTAAAAATATATTTAGCTAGATTAGGCCCGGGGGTTTTGGTGGCTAAAGCCCCCGCTTCCCCACGGGGGCCGGGTTCGATTCCGGCGGGTGGAAAATTTCCCGACACGTTTCCTTACACCTATTGCCCTGTTCCGCGCAAAAGGTCCGGGTGTTGGACTGGTGTGGGTGCATCTGGGGGGACAAGATTAAGGACCCAATGGAAATAAGTTAGACAGCCCTCGATGACGCATGACTTTCTTGGGTTATCCTGGGGGGTAACCCTCGGGGTTTAAAAAATCGAACGAAATTTTTTTCTTGTTATAATAAAGTTGGTTTTAAAGTTTTCAAAATTTCTTTTTTTTACAAAATTTTTAAAATTTTTACATTGCATAAATGAAAAAATTTAATCTTTGAAGTAAAAAGAGAAAATTTGAAAAAGGACTTTATTTTAATGATTCTTGCAAACATTTTTTTACCTATTCGACACGAATATTTATTTATATAATATTAAATTATATTTTTTTTAATATTTATTTATATATATTTAATTAATTAATTAATTAATAGGTAAGGTGGTAGACAGCAACCCCCCGGGGGGTATACCGTCTGCCAAGTGAGTGTAAAAACGAAAGCCTGAAATTGTTTTACATGAGGGGAGGATGTGGGTCTTTTGTCTTCTCAAAAAATATGCAAGTTACGGGTAGTCTTGCAAACTTTACTTACCTTAGGTCACACTACCATACATGTAATGTTTATTTTATACATCTATGAGTTTTTTTGATTTTATTTAATATTTCTTGGTCTTATTACTTTTCCTTTTATTCCATGGGGAAGTGGAATAAGAATCTTTCCTCGGTAAAACCATGCGTGTTTTAAAAGTCAACTAAAAAACCGGGAACAATGGTAGAAACCCCTTTCCTGTAATAATTACTAAAAAGAATAAGAAAAATTTTCTGTGATCTGTGCTTTGTGAGATTCAAAAAGAAAAATTTCAAAGGTTAAGGATGAGTTTGGGAGTGTGTGTAAAAGTGAAAGTTGAAAATGAAATAGAAAAAAGTAAGGTGGAGGGTATCAAATGATTTTTAAAAAAAAAATTTTAATATCAAATTGGGGGGGAGGAGTATGGAAGAAGTGAATGTTTTCAGATATTGGGAGTTAAAGTGTCGGCGGTGGATTTTTTGAAGGATTAATTCAATTAATTCAATTAAGTTTATTCTTATAAGGATTACAATGCTGAGTTTTACAGAAATTTTTGGGTTTTTGTTTGGTTTCATGTAGTAAAATTGTGTTACGAGGTGTCCACTAGAACGTTTTGCTGGCTAGGGATTTCGGGATACTTAGTTTTATTCTTAATTGTTAAAATTTTTACAAATTGAGGTAAGTTTGGGTTTCGGCTAAGTGGGTAAATATAGTTTTTGAGTTTGCAATGTGAATGCTTTTGTTTTGGCAAGATATAGTTTCAGTATTGGGTATACAGGATTCTTATTTTAAAACTGAGATTAATATTTCTGTTTATGGTCAAATGAGTGAGCGGTGTAAGTGTGAACCCAGGTGGTATTGTGTAGTTGTGACGGGGTGTATCAGGGAGATAAGATGTTTTCTAATGGTAGTTTTTAAGGTGATGAATGTGTCTTTCGTTCTAGGTTTTCAGGTAGGGTATTCCAGATTTTGGGCCTTTGACATCATTGAATTTTTTTTAAGGTTTAGTCGGACACGGGGAATGGTAGAGATGTTTGTGTCTGGTGTTATGCCTTTGGGTTCTGTCAAACATCAAAAAAGGTTTTAGGGCAAGGTTTTTTAGAAAATTTTAAACTGTAGATATAGTTGCACAGTATGTGGATGTACTGAATGGGAGTAAATTTTTTCTTTTAAGGTAGGGGGGTTGCTGCCGGGGTGGGATTTGTGATTATTTTTACTGCAGTTTTTGTTGGGTTTTTTTTGGCTTTAGGGTGTTGCTGCAGTTGATCCAAGCACAAAAAGCATGGTGAGGTTGGTAAATAAGAGAGTGGTTTTAGTGTGAGAAGGGCATTTTGCGGCACGTAGTATGTATCTTGGAGAGGTCCAACAGTTTTGGATTTCTTTTTTGGCTATTTGGATTGGGTGCTGAAATTCGGTTGTTTTCAAGGTATAAGCCCAAAGGGAAATTTTTCCCCCCTTATTTTGGTAATTAGGTGTTGTCAATCTTAAGGTTAATATAGAATTGTGAGGGAAAAAAAAAAATTTGGTTTGGGGCAATGAGGTTATGTGGAGACAAAAAACGTTATCTATGGAGGCAAAGAAGGGAATGTATGAAAGTTGTAGTAAACCCCCCAAAACTCTTATATGGGGTTAAGCTTGGGTTGTGAATGCAGCAGCGAGGGACGGTTTTGGGGGCAGTGGGTGCCTGTTAAGAGCAATGTGTGGTGAAATATTATGCAGAAAATTTGGAGTGTGGAAATTAGGAGGGTGTGGAGTTAATAAAAGTATTAGTAGAGGGCTGAGGGGGGGTTGTTTAGGTGGGGTTTTGGGCATTTAGAGAGAAAAGGACAAAGTAGAATGCATGGAGAGCATATAAAAACTGTGGGGAAAGGGAAGGGGGGGGTAGGGGGTCGTCCCCGAGAAGGTTTGGGAAGGGAAAGGGGTAAGGGAGGTTTTGTGGGCGAGGGGGTTGGACTTTAGCAGGCGTGCATAAGCGGTTCGATAGGAGTGAATGGAGACGAATGGTATTTGGGGCCTGACGATTGTTGGAGTGTTAGCAGGTAATATTTAGTGAGGGGGTTAGGGGAAACCGGTTTTTTTTTATATGCCGGACTTGGTCCTGGAAATGGGAAGTAAATGCCCCCGCACTTAAAGGAGGGGTTCGGGATATTAGCGTTTTGGAGGGATATGTTTTGTATCTTTAACGGATATGCTTTTAACTCAAAAACAGTGATTTTGGGTGGTGGGTGAAAGGGGTTGAAGAGATGAAAGTATTTTCTTTTCGGGGATTTTGTTTCTTTTTTTGGGTTTTTTTTCTTTTTGGGGACCCTGCTCGGGGGGCGGCCCCATTTTTAAAAAATTATATATCGTGTATAATATATTTAAGAAATTTAGGGAGGTCCCCCTCTATAACGGACTGGGGATTCAAACCCCAGAAAGACAATAAGTTTCCCGGGGAAACTCAAGGTTCTCCCCCGGGGCTGTTTGAAAATTTTCTTCTCTATATATAATTTCACTGCGTGAACAATTGTAACTTCACCCAAGCTTGCGGGGATAAATCTATACAAAAAAGAAAACATTATTGAGGGGTGAGTAGTTGGGGTACCCAAATGGTCCGGTTGGTTTCAGGGAAACCCCGTGAAGGTCCCGACCCCCTGGGCGCGCACCGTGGATACTCTCTCGCGTGAGTTGTTGATATTGATATATATATTCTTTGGGAAGCCCCCTTTACCCCATTCTCTCTGAGCTTCTCTTTTTATTTTT